TGTCTGTCTGTGTGTGTGTGTGTGTGTGTGTGTGAGTGTGAGTGTGTGTGTCTCTCTGTGTGTGTGTGTGTGTGTGTGTGTGTGTGTGTGTGTGAGCGCAGGCATGTTCATCCCCAGCTGTGATGAGGATGGTTACTACAGAAGGCTGCAGTGCGACCGCAGTCGTGGCGAGTGCTGGTGCAGCGACCCTCACGGAGCAGAGGTCACCGGGTCACGTATCCATGGAAACCCCGACTGCGGTGAGTGCAGCTTTGCCGTCTTCACGTCTAGTGGATCGTGCAGTGATTGAAACTCTGTCTGTGTGCCGTAGACGAGCTGCTGAGCTCCGGAGACTCCAGCAGCGGCGTCGGCTGGGAGGATGAGGAGGAGACAGACGCGGACGAGAACACAGAGGAAGAGGAGGAGGAAGAGGAGTCTGACGACGGCGGGTACATCTGGTAAAACACCTTCATCGTCTGCCATCCACATCTTTTACTTCGGCTTCCTGAAACATCCGACCAGCGTTTGAGTGTTTTTGATTTCCGTCATCGGTTTATCAGATGCAAGATTCAGACGCAAGAAAGACTCGAACTCTGCAACACGGGAAACACGAAAGCCTCATCATTAACAGGGTATTACGGTTCATTTGAGGTGATTTATGCAACAGAACTTGTTCGCCGTGGTTTATAAACCTCTGGAGATCAGGTTTACACTCACTGTACAGACCTTCATCCGTGTCAATGTGACTATAATCACGAGTTTCAACCTCTGTCTCAGTAAAAACATGCTAAAGATGAAAAATCCGATGAATTTATAATGCATATTCCCTAAATGAATGCTCAGACACCATCAGAGAGTAACGTTTGCTCTCTGGAGCAGCTAAAATAGTCTCAAAACTCATTCTCTAATTCACATTCACAAAACATTTGTAGAAATGTGTATAAGAAAGATACTGTATTCATGAATTGTGTTGCATTTGCAAATCATATTTTGTGAATATGAATAAGGTTTATCAATTGTTGTTTATAACTATTTTTGTGCATGTAAGTTCATTACAACTATATATTTATAATTTATAAGCAATATAATTATTATACGTATTTATTTGCAAACAGCAAACTCATACCTAATTTACTGTATATTCCCAAAATATGATTTGCAAAATTTACATTCACTTTCTGAAAGTTTCTACATCAATATTTTTTGTGAATGTGAATTCGCTTGTTTAAGTTTATTATTATAAGTATATACTTATAAATTATAATTATTTATAAGTATATGTTGGCAAACAGAACTTGACAAATTCATAACCTAATTCATATTCACAAAAATGTTATTTGCATATGCACAATCAAATTTACAATCATAAAATGCAAAACCTAATTCATAAATACACTGAAAGTTTCTCCATCAACGGATTTAATTCTTTGTGAATTCGCTTACATTTAAGTTTATAAGTATATTTTTGCAAACATAAATCGACAAACTCAATTTAACTCATATTCACAAAATATGATCTGCAAATGCACAAATTTAGTCACAAAATAAGATTGACAAACGTAAAACTGTCTTTTTTATGTTTATTATGAATTATTATTAATGTATTATTAATTATAAGTATGTGTTTATTATAATATATATTTGCATATATTTATAATTTCTAAGTAACATTTATTTTAAGTATATATTTGCAAACAGAAAAAGATGAACTCGTAACCTATTTCATATTCACAAAATATGATTTGTAAATCCACAAATTTATATTCACAAAGTAAGATTTACAAATGCAAAACTCAAGTATGTTTGTGTCTTTTCTTTCATATTCACAAAATATGATTTGCAAATGCACAATCAAATTTACATCCACAAAGTAAGATTATGGATAACGGATTGACTTCTTTTGAGAATGTGAAACATCATATGTGAATCATATTTGGTAAATGCATTAATTTTGAGAGTATTTTAGCTCCATTTTGCTCTGCTGAGAAAAAGACTAGCAAACAGACGAGTGGAGCGATCCAACCTTTCCAGAAACATCCGAGCTCTTTAAACAGCACCTGTCCTGTCAAATTAGTGGAATGCAATTAGCTGTTGTATAATTTATGATAATGCTTTGATTCTGAATCAGAATTGACTCGGGTTTCTTGAATGCACAGCTCAAAGCGTGTGTTTGGTTGCTCATCAGGTTGTGTTAAAACAAAACGTGAAACGTTATGAGTTGTCGATTATGTAAATGTTCTCGGCTATTTGAATTGCTTTATTTTTCGTATTGCATGATAGTTTACAACAGAAAGCTCTTTTATTGGCTCTTTCTCTGTCGGATCAAAGCGTATGTGTGATGTTGAGATTCTCTAAATCTGAGAAATAAAACTCTCTGATACATAATCAGCTGTGTGTTCGTGTGTAAGGATGTATTTGATGTTCCCGACGTCTTGAGAAACTCCAGAGGAGAAATATTTAGTTTGACAAAATCAATATCTGGCAGCGCTGCAGTGAATAGAATTAATATACAGTCTCTGAAAACACTGCTGTGAAATCAGCACACGCCAGCGCACAGTGAAAACAAAGATCCTGGGTCATGAGAATCAGAGCATTTATGCTCATTAATGCATCAAAAAATATTATGCAGAATGTGATATTATTTCTGTTTCATTCATCACACTAGAAATGGACGGTGTTGAGTAGATCATCTGTGCATACAATGCAACAGGGTTATTATTATAACAAAATGACTAAAACTTTCACTAAAATGTAAATAAAAAGTATAAAAAATGTAAATAAAATATTAATAAAAACTGTAATATTTACTAAATGACTATTACTAAAAAAGTATAATTATTAAAATAATAAAAAAGCGATAAGTTACTAAATATAAAATAAAAATTATAAAAATAAAAACTAATTTAATATATTAAATTAATATATTAATAAAAAATGAATAATTAATCAATAAAAAATATTAAAATTAAAATAAAATAAAAGTTGTTAAATTACTACAACTTTAACTAAAATTAAATTAAGTAAAAACAAAGTATAGAAATGAAAACTAATTTAAAATATTCATAAAAACGATATTAGTTGCTAAATTACTATTAAAAACTATAATAATTACTAAATTAATAAAAACAATGAGTTATAAAATTACTTCAACTTTAGCTAAAATTAAATTAAATAGAAAAGTATAAATAAAAATTTTACTAAATAAAGTAAAACTACTAAGTTTTAGTTACTAAATAAAAACGAATTCAAAATATTAATACAAATTAATAATAGTTACTAAATTACAACTACGAAAAATCTGTAATAGTTACTAAATTAATAAAAAACTAAAAAAGAGTTACAAAATCACTACAACCTTAACTAAAATTAAAATAAAAGCACAGTATAAACATAAAAACTCATTTAAAATATTATGATACTATGATACTAAATTAACACTGCTGTGCACAGTTTACATGCGATGCATTGACATTTATGCAGTATTTGGCAAATGCTTTTATCCAAAGTGACTTGCATTACAATGAAGGAATATGTTATATTTCAAATACCATACATTTTAGCTCATGCATTCGAACCCATGACCTTGGTGTTGCTGTTTGAGCCGCAGAAGAAACCAGAAGGCTTTCAGCATAATGCAAGTGTTTCAGACACTCGAGCATTCACATTTGCAGTGGTGTGCTTTAACCAGTTTACAGATTCAGATAGTGTTTTATTAACACCCCGAGGCATAAACACACATCTATAGCCAGTCTGAACAAACACACACACTCTTCATTCTGAAGACACTCAAGTGAAACTTCTGTTTCTGCGTGTTTCTGCTCACGGTCAGGATTTCCACCAGATTTGACAGTAAAGCTGTTGGATCACTGTCAGTGTCTTTTAAAGGGGTCATAGGATGCTACATGCACTTTTACAAGTAGTTTGAACTGAAATGTGTGTTGGCAGTGTGTGTACACAACCACACTATAATGATAAAAATGTTTTTTTTTTAATCTATGTGCTAATTAGCAAGTTTCACGATGAATACAGCTAAAGTAAACAGTCTGTGAGAGCAGCTCGGAAGAGAGGGGCGGGGCCAGGAGAGCTCATTAACATTTAAAGGAAAATGCTACAAAAACGGCTTGATCTGAAAAAAGCTGTTTTTGACAGGGTAAAAAAGGTGTTTTTTTTTACACTACCATTGAGATATTTTAACCAAACTATGTTACAGACTTTTCATTAAGACCCTAAAGAATCATATCAACTTGTGGAAAATGGGCATCCGATGACCCCTTTAAGCACACTGTGACTGAAAGATCTGTGCGATCTGGAAATCACTGCTGCCTCCTGCTGCTCTGCAGTGGAACTGAACATGATTTTAAACACTTTCAAGGAATATTTCAGCCTATGATGAGAATTCTGGGTTACACTTTATTTTAAGGAGTCTTTGTTGCATGCAGTTTAATTATACAACTGAATACTGAGTAATATTAACATGTACTTACTATATGTTTAGGGTTATTTGTTACTGTTATTACTAGAAGTACATGTAATGTGTAACAAGGACACTGTAATTTACGCCTGTGGTTCTAAACACATATGACTATTGCTTCAGTGAAACACAGAAAGAGACATTCTGAAAAATCCATATGCTTTCTATATAAAGACAGTTCACGTCTGTAAAGGTCCAAAAAGTGCCATAACAGAATTGCATATGAGTTTACAGAAAATTTACAGAAATCTAGCTCTCAGATCTCACGTGTTGGTATGCATGAGTCATATGAACTACTGCTTTTATCATACTTGTAGAAAATCTGGGATTTCCAGGTTGTTGTTTTTTGCAGAAAATGTTCTCTCGCTCAGATCATCCGAGATGTAGATGTGTTTGTTTCTTGATCAGGTTTGTAGAAATGTAGCATTGCATCAGTGTCTCAGCAATGGATGCTCTGCAGTGAATGGGTGCCGTCAGAATGAGAGTCCAAACAGCTGATAAAAACATCACAATAATCCACAAGTAATCCACAGCACTCCAGTCCATCAGTTAACATCTGAAGACAAAAGCTGAAACTAATCCAGCATTAAGACGTTTTGAACGTCAAAACAACGCTTGCGGCTAAAAAGTGAGTGAATTTTCAGCAAATTTTCATTTTTGGATGAACTATT